TGCAGACAATGGGGTTCATACTTGCAAGTGAGTCAAGGAGAAAGCAAATCACCCTGGAAGTTTCCCCACCAATCCAGGCTTCCCCATTACCCATTTCCAGCATGTGTGACTGGGACAGCCTCAAAATAACTAAGAGTTAGAAAACTGCTTGGAGGTACAGCCAACTGATGCAATAGTCTCAGAGCTGTAAAGCAGGGACCAATCTAAGCCTACTGAGAGGACATTAAGGAGCAGTACTTGCTCCCTCACCAGTTTTCTGAGGAGTTACTGCAGCAGGAAGGAAGAAAGAAATGCTCCATTTGTTCAGCCCTATTTTATCCTTCAGTGCAACAGCAGTTGCCTGAATGAACAAGATATTTAAAAGCTGGTAAATGAGAAGCCAGTGTTGGTTATTAGCCATGGGGGAAATTTTAAATCAGCTTCTGTAATGCCTAAATATGAGCTGATTTATTTGCCTTGTCCACAGAGAAAAGCTACAATGGCTTTTTATATATATTAATAGGGTTAATATTTGCTAACTGTGAAGTAAATCACAATAAAGGGGAGGGAGGGGAAGGTAGAGAAGCTGTGGTGCCCCATAGTTGAGGATGTTCAAGGCCAGGTTGAATGGGGCTCGAGGCAGCCTGGTCCAGTGGAAGTGACCCTGCCCATGGCAGAGGGGGTGGCATTAGTCACTCTGGGGTTTGCTCATTCTACATTAGCAGCATTTGTCGTGTTTTTATCTTTCCCAATAATTTAAATGGCAATGCTGAGTAAAGCAGCGAGCTTCGGACGTGCTGCTGCGTGAAATGCAAGCGCTCCCCTTCCCACGGGCTCTGCCCTCCCTGCCCAGGTCTGGCAGGGCTGGGAGCAGCGGGTTCTGAGAAGGGGAAGTGTTGTTTGCATCTGGGCAGCTCAGGCTGATCCCGCCTTCGCTGCCTCATTAATGATCGAATCCTGCGCGCACGCGGCTGCCCCGGGATCCCTCAGCTCTGCAGCGCCTGCAGCTCCACAGCCCGGCCATGGTAAGGGCTCCAGGGCTGCCCAGCCTCTCCTGCTCCTCTGCCAGCCCTTTTCTCACTGGGCTCTGGCTGCTTTACCTTCTTACCTCCAAAGAATCCGTCAGCCTCTTCCTAACTGCTGAATTGATGTCTCTGTCCATGCCGAACTTTGAATTATTACTGCTATTTCAAGTGCTAATGTCCGTGTTGTGCTTTCTAGATATAGAATCTCATTGAGGTGTTGAGTTTCTCCTCCAGAGCCGAGCAGACAGGGCTCGGCAGGTGCAGCAGGTGAGCTCTGAGCAGAGCGAGCTCTCTCTGTAGCGTTTGTGGCTCCTGGGGGGCACAGAATAAGTGTAGAGACTTGATGGAAATGGCTTTAGGAAATTTTTGTTCTGCTTCGTGATCTCCCTTCGAAATTAAATACAGTGCTTTGAGGGCAGAGACCTGTGAACAAGTTCTTGACACAAAAACACCTTTGGAAATGCTTAGCCCTAGCTTGAGTTCAGTTTTGATCTATATCCCAGTTTCTGGCATTTGGTTTTCCCAGCTTTCCAGTGATTTGCTGACACTTTATCCAAGGCTCTCACCAAAAGCTGTGTCCTGAGGCAGGGCCAGGTGGCTTAGCTGAGGAGGGAGAGGAGTAAACACTTGAGATCCTGCTCTGTTTCCTTGCCTGTAGCTGAAAGCATTTTTGTAACCAGCCTTTCAAAAGCAAGCAAGCTCATGAGTGATGCAGCTTTGGAGAAAGCTCTGGCAGGAGGCACAGGAGATGTGCTCCATCCTCCATGCAATTCTGGTACCCAGTTACCAGCACAGCACACAAAGTGCTCCATTAAGGGCTGGGTTAATTTAACAAACATCTCTCCTGGCTCCCTAATGAGCTCCGAGCAGCGCTGCCATCCCTCAGCAGCCTTGTCAGCAAGGCTCTGTCAGTGATGAGGGAGCACCCACGGGACCAGCCTTGGGTAACAGGGGCAGATGACTCCACGAGGTGCTGACAGGGCACCCACGGGCTGGTTTCACTTTCCTGGCCCCTGGCACTGCCCTGGGCACGTTGTGGCTGATGCCTTCATTCAGGTGATGCTCCCACTCCAAGCTCCTCACAGAGGTCTCTGCTCAGGGGAGTTTTCATTTCCCTTTGTAACTCTGAGCAGTGTCTGCAAGTACCAATCCCCTGTCTGAGAGACATTGTTTAAGGTCACATATCTACTTACCCTGTAGGCTGGGAGGAAATTGCAGGCTGCATTCACTGATTACAGCAATGATATAACAATAACTGCACAATGATCTTTTACTTGGGTTTGGTGTTTATCTTTTCCCTTTTGATTTTCCAGGCTGTGAATGAGACCAGTGACTGCTTTCTGACGAACAGAGTACTAGAAAAGTATTTTCTCTCCACCATGTACAGCCTTGAGTTCATTATAGGTGCCATTGGAAACACCATTGTGGTGTTTGGCTATATTTTCTGCCTGAAAAAATGGAAAAGCTGCAACATCTACCTGTTCAATTTGTCCATATCAGATTTGTTGTTTCTGTGCACTCTGCCAATACTGGTGAACAGCTACTCCCAAGATCAGTGGACAAAGGAGGGCATCCTGTGCCACAGCAACAGATTCCTGCTGCATGCCAATCTGTACAGCAGCATCCTCTTCCTCATGGCCATCAGCGTTGACCGGTACATGCTGATAAAACACCCCTTCAGGGATCACATCCTGCAGAAGAGGAAAACAGCTGTCATGGTGTCCATTGCCATATGGATTGGGGTGATCCTGGAGCTGCTGCCCCTGCTGCATTTCCTGGAGCCTCTAAAAGCCACCAACAATTACAAATGTCTTGATTATGCGAGCTCTGGGGACCCTGTGACAAACCTCATCTACAGCCTGTTCCTCACTGTCTTTGGCTTCCTCATCCCTCTCCTCACCATGTGCTGCTTCTACGTGAAGATGGTTCGTTTCCTTAAAAACAGGAGGGAGCAAATCAGCTCTGCCCTGACCCTGGAGAAGCCCCTCAGCCTGGTGATCCTCACCGTGGTGATTTTTTCCCTGCTCTTCACTCCCTACCACGTCATGCGCAATGTCCGGATCGCGTCCCGAATCCCAGCCTTGAGCGTCTCTGAGTGCACCCAGGGAATCATCAGCACCATTTACATCATCACCAGACCCTTTGCCTTTCTAAACAGTGCCATTAATCCTGTTTTTTACTTCCTGATGGGTGACCACTTCCGAGAGATGCTGATTGCCAAAGCAAGACAGCTCTTGGGCAGGCTGACAAGCACGGGCAAGTGAAGGAGTAACCAGACCCCCTGTAGTGGGAGAGGTCTGGGAGGAAACTCTCTTAGGGAGAGCATTCAGTAATGTGCCATTGTTTTTTAGATAACTTTATTTATGCAATAGAATAGGTACGAGCTTATTGTGTTCCTCTGAACGCCCCTGTTACCTTATTGCACTTCTTGAGAACTTACTGAGACTTCTGCTGAGCTGCTCCAGCACACCAGGAGGGATGCTCTGCTGGCTTCCAGCAGGACCTGCTCTGGACTGGGATACCCCATGGCCATTAATACAGCAATCAAAAGGCCATCAAAGCAGCCCTTGGAGGGAAAACACACTGCTCTCAGACTGCTGCTTTGTGAGTCATAACGTGTGCCTGAGCTGGGACAAAATGTGCCTTCATACATCACCAGGACAGCCAGGCACACTCGCATGGGCCCCTTCTCAGGGGATGGAGTTACCTGTCTCCAATATAACTGTCTGTAAGTGTCCGTGGGATCTATAGACTGCAGCAGAATTCAGACCTCAGAGTTCAAACTTCATTAGCAGTTCTACTAATGAACCAGGAGCTAATGAGGAGCCAGTCCCTGCCTGATCCCTGCAGGATCGATCAGCAGCACGAGTTACTCTCCCACAGACTGACCTGACTTCAAACAGAAAGGGGAAAGATCGATGGAATAATGAGCTCATTGAGCTTGGGCTGGCCCAGGGCTGCTGAGGGAGGGAGGGAGGGCAGGGGGTGGGCAGCCCCCTGCCCTGCCTGCACCCCTGCAGGCACTGAGGACACCCAGCCCTGCCCTGGGACTCACCCAGCTCCTCCTGGGCTCTGTCTCTGATGTGTCACCACAATGTGCTTTGCTGTGCTGGTGCCACCAGTCCCCAGATAATAAAACACTTAAAAAACCAGGAAAACTCTCCTCTGTGTTGTTTTACTTTATTGCTGATCTCTGGAGTATCCATGAAGCCTCAGCATCTGCCTTGGTCCATGTGCCATGGTCCTGTGCCTTGGCACAGCCCTGTGGCAGTGTTATCAAAGCAGGGTCTGGCTCCCAGCCAGCTCAGCACTTCTGTACCTGAGGAGCTGAGCTGTGCCCCCCACAGAAATGTGGAAGGACCTTACTGCCTTTGGGGTTTTTTAGGAACAGCCATGCAGAAGCTCAAGGTGCTTTCGCAATTGTGATTTCCTCCTTGAGGCTGAATTTGCTGGAAGAGGAGGCACAGCCAGCCCAGCAGCATCCAGCTCTCACTGCCCTGGTCTTGCCTGGGTCCTTCTCCACTGCCCTGCCCAACGAGCCCACCCCAAGCCCCGGGGCAGGGCTGGAGCCCCGAGCACACCGGGTGCCACTGCCCTCTCCAGAGACGAGTCTGTACAGCCTGTGGCATCCCATGGCCATGTGCTGATGGCCAGGAGCTGATTTCTCTTCGTAATCAATGTGTAGTGACAGTCTTTATGGATTAATATGCTCAATTATTTGTTTTGCTGCGTCCACTGAGGTGAGCAGGGTCATCTGCTCCTCCTGAGTGACTGAGTCACTAAGGGTTGCTGCCTGAGTACACACTGGCATGGCATTTACCCACGGGTAACCACGGGTAATGTGTGCTCCTTGTGTCAATACACACCCCAGATCCAGCAGCAGAGAGGTGCAAAGGCAGAACCAGTGCCTGTGTCCCGGGGTGCCAGTGCTGGACAGAGCTGCCAACATTCTGTCACCTGCTTTCACCACAGGGCTGCTGGTTTTGCCCCAGCACCTGCACTGGTCACGGCAGGCTCTCTTCAGCTGGGGAGCTCCAGACACAGCCCAGGCACCCCAAAGGGACTCCAAGACCTGCTGGGCTCTGGTCCTGCCCCCTTCTGAGACAGCCCTGCTTTGTGCCTTTGATTTAGTGGCAGTCTCTGAAGCCTCCATGACTTCCTTTTCCCTAAACTAACAAGTGAAACTTCTGATCATTACACAGTTTACTGTGATGCTGCTGGTCTTGCAATTAAAAGTGTGATAAAAAGAGAATAAAACCCGGTATGTTCAGGCTTCACATACGTGTTCCTCTCTGCTTAATTCTTCTACTCCTCAGCAGAACATGGTCAAATTTAAATTAATAAAGCTGCAGAGCACTACCTGGCTCACCTGAGCTGGTGAAGCAGGGCTAAGTTGGGTACAGGTGTGGGTACAGGTGATGGGCCATGGGCTGTGGGTGCAGGTTCTCCCCTGGCACAGCCACACTTGGGCTGCAGGCAGCAGCACCAGCACAGCTGGACCTGGGCTTTGGCTCTGATTCAGACGGGGTTTTTTTTTGGTTTCATTTTGTTTTGTCTTCCCTTATTTTGGGTGTGGATTGAAAATGCCTCCAGAACAGGAATTCAGCTGTGAGTCAGCCTGAAAACAGTCCAAGTATGTTTTAGTGGCGGTAAGTGACCTAAAAATATCTGTTCCTGGGAAGGGTGGTGAGGGCAGGGCGAGGGGCTGGGGGCTGCCTGGGCTCTGCCCAGCCCTGCAGCCTCTGCCCCGGGCAGACACAGGCCAGGGCTTTGGGCTGCTTTCAGTCTCCTCTCCAGGTGTGAGCTGCAGGAACCTGAATTTGGAGGGAATTCACAACCAGCTCCACACCCATGAGAAAACACACAGATCTATTTCTTACTCATTTCAAACCCAACCAAACCCCAGCTCCTCTGCAGCTTGGAACGTGTGAAATGTCCTACCATGTTTTTTCCTGACATTTAGAGGGAATTTCCCGGGTTTGCCTTTGTTGCCATCACCTTTTGGCCAGCACTGCCCGGGCAGTGCTGCTCTGGGGTCAGGTGCCTGTGCTCCCTGCACTGCTCTGTGCCACAGCAGCTCCTGCTCTGCAGTGGTTTAATAAAGGTTTATAGGAGCAAGGATGCCCACACAGGGGCTGTGGGCTGAGGGCTGTGCTGTGTGAGGGGAGCCTGCCTGGCCAGCCCTGGGCACTGGCATGAGCTGACACCCTCTGTGTGGATTCCAGCAGCGTGTCCTGACCTGGCACTGCCACATTGGCAACTCAGAGTTTAGCTGCTCATGTTGACAGCAATGGAGATACCAATTCAGCTGACTTCTGCTTGGTTTCAATTTGGTTTTCACATTCTAAAAATACTTAAGCTAAAAATAGTCTTCCTGGAGCCCAGGCGGAAGTTCCCCCTCTGGGCAGCCTGTACGAGGTGTGGGATCACCTCAACAGCCCCCGAGGTCTCTGGGCAGCAGCCCAGGTGTGCAGCAGCACTCATGGAAACATTTACAGCTTTTCCTGCTTGTTCTAAGCAGCTTTTGGACCAGCAGCATCAGGTCTGACCCGAGCACACAAACACCTGGGGGCAGAGAACTGCAGGGATCTGATGTCAGGGCAAGGTGCCTGCAAGACTCATCTTCCTTTCAGTTTTCTCTCTTATAGCAATTTTGACCCACTTAAGTGGAGTGGAACATTTAGCTGCTGCTTTGTTCATTCTTGCACTCTTGCCTCACTTCCTGACACAGCCACATAAGAGTCACAGGATGGAAGGTCTCACAAATAACCGTCCAGATGAAATAATTAAATTATTCGATAAATGGAGCAATCCAGCAGCTTGCCTGCTGCCTTTTGGAATAAGCCCTGTGCTCTCAGGGCTTGGTCTTAGGAATTGTTTTTCCTTCCCAGAGACCTGCTCTGTTTGGTGAATGCTGTTCAGGGGCAGGCACAGCCCACTCGCTGCTGGCCCGATTCCTTCTTTCAGATGGGAAAGGTGGGGACGGAGCCTGGCACAGCCCAGCTTTCCAAACACCCTGGGGAAATCCTGAGGCAGCTGTCAGCCCACCCAGGCAGGGGCTGGGGAGTGCCCACTGCCCAGGTGAGGGGCAGAGGAGGAAATGCATCCCACCTGCCCCAGGAGCTCCATCGGGCAGGATGTGGGGTCTGGGGGGTTAAAAAGGAGCCCTGGTGCTGCTTCCCTGCCTGCACAAGGCTCCTGTGCTGGGGATGCCACAGGGGCACAAGGCAGGAGCAAACTGAGCAGGTAAGAATGAGGTGACAGCTCTCAAAGGTCTCTTCAATAACTAAATAAGTTACAGCAGAAAAAATGACTGCTGAATGGGGCACTTGCTGGGGAGAGAGCTGTGTGTGCTGGGCTGTGCTGGGACAGTCAGATGGAACCAGGAGATACTGCAGAGAAAAAAAGTGACCCAGTTTGGTTTATCTGGCAGTGGAAATGTGTGCTCAGAGTTCATGCAGCACTGTGAGGGGATGCTCTGTGCTAAGGCAGGAGGTGCTGAAGGAGGTGGTGAAGCAGAGCCCGTGGCTCCTGCAGGTGTAAAACTGAGAGGCAGTGGGCAAAAAATTCATCCTCAGAGCTGGGTTATGAGTGAAACCAGTCAGAAATATCCCCTGTAAAGGGAAGTACAAGGAGCAGCTGTGAGCCAAGGCAGCAGCCTGGAGCTGCCCCCTGGGCTCTGCAGGGACACACAGTGACAGGGACACAGGGACACACCCGGACACACAGGGATGCAGGGACACACACAGTGACAGGGACACACGGTCACAGGGACACACATGGTCACAGGGACACCCGGACACACACGGTCACAGGGACACACATGGTCACAGGGACACCCGGACACACATGGTCACAGGGACACACAGTGACAGGGACACCCGGACACACATGGTCACAGGGACACACATGGTGACAGGGACACTCAGCACTGCTGTCTCCAGCTGATCTGGCAAAGGGCTCAGGATGTGTGAACCATCCCAGCGGGCTCCCTCCATCCTTGGAATGGTAGCTTTAAAAGTCATTTGGACTTTCTCTTTTTTTCTTTAAGCAGTCCCAGTGTCTCCTTTCCCCTGATCAGCCCCAGAACAAACATGGCATTTCCTGCTGGACCTTGGGCTGCTCGCTCTGCTTTGTTATTGCCCAGCTCCTGGCACTCGAGGGGTTTTCCATTCTCCTGAAGAAATGCAGCTCCTGGGATGCCTGGTTGTGCTCCCCTGGCAGGTTTACCAGAGGAAATCCTCCTCCTGCAGGAGCACAATGGCTGGGGGCTCTCCAGGCTGAGCAGCAGCCAGGGAAAACAAACATCATCCTGTTAGAGCACATTGCTATGGAGGCCCGAATTTAAAAACCTCCTGTATGAGGTTCAGTCGCCATGATTTTATATCTAGCAATATATTTTTGACAGGAGAGGAAGTACTTTATCAACCTAATGTTTATTTTTCTTTATGGTGTATGGGGATATTCTAGTTTCTTTGTATTTCAACCCAATATTTTTGCAGGGAATGCTTTAGCTATCGACCACCCTAAGAAATGCTGGTTTCTCTGAGGTTTGTGTCTATGTTCTGTCACAGAGAAATAAGCTTTCCCTGATCTGGGAGCAATTTCTTTTCAGAGCAAATTATTTTTGTCTTTCAGGGTGTTTTTCTTGTTTCCTTTTAATTAGTTCTCGTGCATTTCAGGGCAATCGTTACAAAATGGTGGTGATTCATGCTGCTCATTTTGCTTCATGTAGAGAAGTGTCACAGGATGCTTTAGATGGCTTGATTTCCATAAAACCCCCTTGAATTCAGGGTTTGGTTGTGGTTCAGGAGGAGTGCCTGTCCCAGCCTCATCCCTGCCTTCCCTCAGGACCAGGGCACATCCTTCATCCTCATCCTCTGCCTGGAGCTGATGAGCAGATGCTCTCTCCTCTGCTTTGATTTCTGTTATTTCCTAGAAGGATTTCTGTAGTAACCTCAAA